TGTATGTTTAATATAATGTTTTTTTTTCAGGATATGTACAGACACGTTTTACGTAGAAAGCATAAAACGCAAGCCGATCCATGGAAAGTGAATCACGCTGGAATGACGCCCATAGCAMTGGCTGCTAAATTAGGSAKGAAAGATATGTTTGAAATGATGCTGGATATAACAAGCCAGGTACAGCGTTTTAGCACCTTACTTCACGATCTTGTCCTGGGGGTCTTGTATATGTTGTAAATGGAGCATATTTGAGTTTCAGGGCATTTTGCCACCGACAAATTTGCTTAGTAATTATCTAGCAGTGTTGTCAGTATTGTCTAATAATGTTGAATGGTAAACTCGACGATCAAAATATATATCGTTTGGGTTTAAACGGGCATGGTCCACCAGCATTCAATGCGGTCGTGGTTTAGATTTTTCATATATGGAAAATGAGGTGACTTTGAATATCCATTTGCAATCCGTTTCCATCCATCGGTTTTAAGGTCGAATCTTACAATATCTCCATTCATAGAGTATAAAGGGATAACAAAGAGCACGTTTTTGCTTATATTACGATATATTTTTTATTTTCGAACATAAACCAAAGCTCGCTAGGGATGTCGGTTGAACACAGACCTTTAATGCTTTAAGTTCTAGGTAGTTTATTATATATGCTTTCAGGAATTCTGGTCTTTTGGATATATGAATTGCTCGGCCTACTCTCTCGAGGGACTAGACTCTATCGATAAAAATGGAAAATCGAACTCTAAGTCCGCTCTCGTGGTAACCCTRAATGGTGGTGAACGAGAACATTTAGAGCTATTAGACACAGGGATCATGTTTCGACTGTTAGAAGAGAAATGGAAGGCTTTTGCTAAGGTAAGACTAGCATGTTTGCATTAGTTAACATAAATTAACTCGATATTTTTTTCTGTGTGCTGTGTTGTATCATTGTTTTGGTTACTTGGGATATTCAGCTCACTCAGTGTAATTTGCCGACTGCGTTTCGCTGCCATTGTGGTCCACTTCGTCAGGTAGTTTCCCCTTCTATTGCCTTCTCGCTTGATCGCGTACGACCTGCCGAAGTCGACCAAAATGGCAACAAAACGTAGTAGGCAAAACAATACACTAATGTGAGCTGAATCGCCCAAGTTGCAAAGTGAATTCAACAAGTGAACTTTTGTTGTCAAAACAGTGTAACCAAGGTCCCTTTCGGTCGAGCAATCGACATTCGCCGCTCTCCGCTCGCCGTTCTCCCTGACAACGTTTTTTGAAATTGTTGTATATTGTGAGCCTCCGATAYGGCTTATAGCTGTTGTTGTTTTGTCTTCAGAAAAAATTCTATGTTCGCCTGATGTTTGCACTGCTTTATCTGGTGGCGTTTAGCCTTTCTATTTATCTACGACCGAGGGACTTGAAGATGAAAGTCTTGAAGAATAATCTCGATAGAGTGAGTAGAGCGAATAGCCAACATATTTTGGTTCGATGACTATGTACAATAGA